GTGTATTTATGCTTATACATATCCATATATGTGTATGCATAGAAATTTTGTTTAACATATTTAAAAATATTTGAAGACATCATTATACTGTACTCCTATTTCAAGTATGTACCTCATAAGAATACAAACTATTACATATAGAATACATAATACATTATACAGTGACATTTTTATACCTGATAAATTAGACCTTACAATTTATGTCTGCATCACACATACATATGCTTTTATGTGTGCATAATATACGTTATACATAGTACATTATGCAATGTTCTTATACCTAAAACATCTATAATTATTCCTTCTCATGTCCAACACCTACTAATTTTGCCTAATTGTCCCATGCTGTAAGTGTCCCAAATTCAGCGAGGCAGGGGAGCCATTTATGTTGGCCCATAGATCTTTTTTGACAGGACCCTGTAAGCCTTGGACACTTTCACTTTTGGGAACAAGAGGCCCAGATTCACCTTGTGCTTTCCTTACACTCCTTTTGTTTGGCGGAGGGATGGCTTTCTGTTCTGCACATTCCTTGATAGACTTTTTAGCACTAACTAGCTCTGCTTCCAAAGAGTCTTAAGACACACAGTTGTGAACTGTGTAATCTGCCTGTTCTTCAAAGTACCTTAAATGTGTGGCATTTAGTCATGGAGGACTGCCTCAAGGACATCCAGGACCTTGACTTCAGTAGGCTAAAATTGAATTTTGGGCTAAGCTAGATAAACAGAGCACTGTATACATGGAGTGTTGACCCCTTGGGCCTTTGAGCACTGCCAGCATTAAAGGTTTAGGGACACTGAAGTACATGCTGGGTAAGGGTTCATCACTAGAGTGGGAAGACCTGGGGTTCTGTTCTAGCTGTACAACTTACAAGCCATATAACAAGCAAGTTTCTTTTTCTTTGTACTTTATTTTCCTTACCCCAAGGGAAATAGTAAGAGGACCCACTGATAAGGTGATTTGTGACCTACAGGTACTAATTTTAAAGCACTCACTAGAGTATGACTAAACCTGACACCCCTCCTGCTTACTGCCTTGGTGAAAGCCTTCTCTCCGGAGGTCCTAATATCACAAGTGGTCCTGTTGCTTCTGAGCATGTCTTTGTTTTAAAGAGACTAAGAGCCAGATGAGGTGTGCAAACCTGTAGTCCCAGCTGCTCGGGAGGCTGAGGCAGGAGGGACTTGAGTCTAGGAGTTTAGGACCAGCCTGGGCAACACAGTGAGATCCTGTGTCAAATAAATAAAAAGATAGACAAACTAAGAAACATGTACATACTCCTCTCTCTTCCTCTGCCACATGAGCACGCATTTTGTTTGGCATTCACAGCATGTGTGTTTTGATCCTCACCACTTCGTGTTTGGAGGGAGCATTAAGTCTATAACTCAGCTTGCCTGAGTGTGACTTCTAGCTATATCATGGGTGCCACCTGGAGCACATCCTGGCCCCTTGGTGCCTTCTGGAAAGTTGGGGTCACTGAAGTATATCCCTTTCTAATTAGCATTTAATGAGTGACTCCATCTCACTGTCCTCCACAGTAAACACTCTAAGAAAAGTCAGCAATCATCATTCTGATTTCCTCTTATTTTCTAAGACTGCCCTGAAAATTATTTTTTTCAAGGTAAGTTTATCAGTTAGTAGTGTGTGTGTGTTGTTACAGAATAGAAATGGGTCTAGGTAACTTAGGTACAAAACCACTTCACTGGAAAGTTCTGGAACAGCGTACCATGTGAAGGGTATCTGAAGAAAGGCCGGCATCAGACAGGGCAGCTGAGGACCAGGCCAGCTCCTGTGATGTGGGTGGCATGACTTATCTACCGTCTTGTGACTGTTTTCCTTGTACAAGCCACTCATACTTCAGTGGCCAGCAGGAGGAAGGTGTGACTCCCCTGGTGGGGACACAAGGACCAGTCCTAGCTTTGAAGGGTTGAGTCTCCAAATTGTTCACAGTATGGTACTCTCTCCCCAGAAGGCTATCAGGATTTGTTATTAGAACAAAACTCAAGCAGAGACTCGGTGGCCTCAAACCAGTACATCCTCATTACAGTTCTAGAATGTGTTTTGTTACTGAACTGCTTTTTGAATAAAAATAACAGGGTCACCAGCACCTCATTATGGAAAAGAACACTGGTATGAAACTCAGCCCTTTGTGACCAAGTTCACCACAACTTTGTATCCTAATTCCTTCCTCCCTCCTCTTTCCCAGCCCCTAGAGTGCTGGGATTGTAAGAGATATGTGTCACCACACTCAGTTTATTCCTGGTTTCTTTATTGCCATGGTGACAAGTAAGCACTAAAGGACCCCTAAGGAGTGTCACCACAGTGAAATCCTACCATTCTCTGACTGTCTTTTGTATGTGGGAACCTGCATTACTTTTCACGTACACACATGTATACCCAATTTAGTCCAATCTTCAAACTAAATTGATAGGAGAATTTATATGCAAATTACCTCATTTAGTAACTTGTTACTTTAGTTTCTGCTAAGGCAAAATAAGTAAGATGTATATTTGAAGTGAAACAAACTCAGTATTCAAATTTACTCATTGTTTTAGAGTACACAATAATTTAAATTTAATTAGAATTAGTTAAATGGGTTTAATTTCTATAGGTATTTTGATTTTTATATGACTAAGGGACACTAGGATGTCTGGAGAACAGTAATTAAGTTATCAAACTCTTTGCCAATCATGTCTGGACCACACTGTCTTCATAAAAAGCAAACTTTAGAGCTGAGTGCAGTGGCACACACTTGTAACCCCAGCACTTGGGAGGCTGAGGCAGGATGTTAAGGGCAGCCTGGGCTACAGCGAGACTATCTCCAAAAAAAATCAACTTTTAGTCTACACAAGCATTTACTACAGAAATGGTTAAGTAGTGTTCCACTATAGTAAGAAGAAATCAGATGAATACTTTCTTCAAAAAGAAGAGGATTTAACAACTAGTACTTAATGAGTGTGCCAGACAGGCTACATTCTCATTCCTTTACGTGTTTGAACTTATTTCTACCAATGCATTCCTGTGACATAGGAACTCTTAGTGTTCCCATTTTCTAGATGGGGAAGCAGGCACACAAAAGTCAAGTGACCTGTGCAAAGTTACAGCTAACAAGAGTCAGAGTGGGGCTCAGACAAGGCAGGCTGGTTTTGCAGTCCACACTCTAAAGCACTGCGCTGTGTTATTGCTGAAAGAAGATAAAATAAAAGTCAGATAAGGTTTGTGTAATTAAACCTCACTGTCACTGTGGTTTTCTCCCTCTCACCCTTTCTCCTTTCCTGACTTGGCTACTTCCTCTCTGTGCTGTGGATTGCACTGAGGACTTTGTGCATGCTAGGGAAGTGCTGTACCACTGAGCCACACTGCCAGCCCTGTCGGCTGTTTTAACACTTGAGACTATTTGCAAAGTTTCATTATTACTGGGATGTTTGGGGTTTTTTGGGTTTTTTTTTTTCAGCTGCTTACTCAGCAGATAGACCTGATTGAAGCTTCCTATGTGTTCAGTTGAAGTGAATCTACATGTTTATAACCCCTCCCCCATGATTGGTTATTGCAAATTTGGCTAAATTAATTAAATCATAATTTCCTAACAGAGATCTTATAACTTGCCCATACTATTACTCTGTCATGAATAGCTAGATCTTAGCTACAATTAATCAATACTAACTGTATATTGTAAGTTCATACTGCTGCATTTTTATTTGGGAGTTCTGGTTTTCAAAGATGACTTATTAAAAATGCAGATATGTCAATAAAATTTGGCTTGATTCTGTAGGTTGTAAAATTCAAAATTAAACTGACATCACAAGGGCCCTACTCAACAATTGTAGAACTAACTTGGTAGAATTGTCTTGTATCACATACAGCATTTATCACAGTTGGTTACTATAATTATACACAAAGCACACTATAACAATATAAACCTAAATTAAATTAAAGAACGTGGACCTTGAACAATTTGAAAGCCTTTTACTAGACTTTTACCAAATTACTTAACTTTCTGTTCTTAGTTTCCTCAACTCTAGAGTAGATGAAATGTTCTACTCCTAGGATATGTTTATGGCTGATAGTCATTTAATAATATTTGTTAATTGCTGTAGTCATTTTTCTTTTTTCTCTTTGGTCCTGGAGATTGAACCTAGGGCCTTGGCACTTCTCTAGCAAGCATTCTACCACTTGAGCCATATCCCCAGTCCTTTTGTATTTGTTTTGGTTTTGAGACAGAGTCTCAGTAACTTGGTCCTGGCCTGGCCTTGAACTGACCCTCCCACCTCCGAGTAACTGGGATTACAGAGTGCACCACAACACCCTGCTTTGATATATTTATTCTTAAAAGGCAAAAGTTTCACCCAATTCTCCTACCCTATCCCCAAATAGAATTGTTTGCACTTTGCCATTTTTTCTTCAGTGTTTGAATTTATTTATTATACATGACATTTATATAAGGCATATGCTTTGAAACATCTCCTCTCCCTTGAGACATAAATTTCTATTAAAAGGAAGACATATGTATTGATTTTTGCATTGTGATAATGACCTGGATCAATTGAATATAAGTTGCATTTTTAAAATTTCCACTGTGTACTGTTTTGTCAAAAAATTTAAATTGTGACTACATACATTGTTGTTGCTTCAAATATATGGCATTTTCTACCTCAATGGAAAAGGAATCGGTTTTATGTGCCAAAAAATTTACTGATTAATCATAACAATTACAGATAAAATCAAATCAGAGCAATAAAATATTCACAATTTATCCTTTGCTAAGTGAAACTAAAGCCATCTTAATATAATGTCTAGATAAACTTTTCATCTTCAGCAAGGTATGATTGTTTTAGAATCTACATGGGCTTTCGGTGTTCTTATAATTGTTTTCTTTTCCTGCTCACGGGTACTTGTGAACATGCTGCTTGGTTACTGTAGTTATATACCTTGGATACTGCTGTGTGGTGCTCCCTGTCTTAGCTACACTTAACTTGTGGTTTTAGAGATCGTATTTTTTTTTCATTCCTTTTAACCATTAGATCAGGGTGTGTCATTCTTACCACTGAGCACCGTGTGAGAGGTGTTGAAGATTTTGATTTGAGTGGCTATAAATCTAAGTGAAGACTGAGACTGTTCACTTTCAAATGCTTGCATTTTAGTTCAGGTGTCTCTTGTCACCATGCAGCCTCCTGTGATCAATATGACTGACTGCTCTTTTTTTTTATGCCCTTTTAAGCAAAGTAAAACAGCAGTTCGGCTGAAAGAAGACATGAAAAAGATAGTGGCTGTGCCCCTCAGTGACCAGAAGGACCCCAGCTATCAGAAGCTATTTGGAGTCAGCCTCCAGGAGCTGCAGGAGCAGGGGCTCAGTGACAAAGGGGTCCCAGCTGTTGTGCGGAGGATCGTGGGGTACCTGACACAGCACGGTGAGCCAAGTCGGGGTCTGCTGCTGGTTGTTTTTGTGGCCCTTTGCATAGAGGCTGTGTGTTTCTGTGTGACTGTTTCATACTGTGTGAATAAACTGTTGTAAGGCACTTTAATTGGGATAACAGCTTATTGTGAAATCCACTTTTGCCTTGAAGAGGACATTACTAGATCGGGGTGGTGGTGTGGCTCAGTGGTACTTGCCTAGCATGTTCAAGGCCCTGGCTTTAATCCCGAGAAGCAGAGAGAGAGAGAAAAAAAAAAAGATACATTGCTTAATATTATTTTGGTGGTACTGATTCAATTAACCAAATTAGACAATTTTTTTTTTTGGCACTGGGGTTTAAACTCACAGCTGGGCCTCATGCTAGCTAGGCTTAGACAAATTATTTTGATGACTGTGATTTCTAGTTTACAATGTGCCCTAGTTTTTATGTTTGTTTCGTTTGGCAGTACTGGCGTTTGAACTCAGGACGTAGTGCAGACACTCTACCATCTCCAGCTCTTGTTTCTGAAGGTTTTCCTTTGTTTCTGTTTGTTTTTGCTTTTTTGGTTTTTTTTTTGGGGGGGGGGTTGGACTGGCATTTGAACTCAGGGCTTCATACTTGCAAAGTAGGCAGTCTTTCGCTTGAGTAACACCTCCAGACCATTTTGCTGTGGTTACTTTGGAGATGGATTCTCTTGAATAATTTTCCCAGGCTGACCTCAGACCATGATCCACTTGATGTCAGCCTCCCAAAAGTAGTTAGGATTACAGGTGTGAGCCACCAGCACCCCATCCTTGTTTCCTTGTTTCTAAGTTCTCAAAAGCCATTTAAAATAATCCGCTGTTCTAATAATAGTGGGTTCTCTTGATTAGTTAAATCCCAACAGATAGTTGGAATTCCAATATTTTTTAATATGAACCTTTTGCTGTGTCGGATTTCTCTGTACCCTCAAAAGGGACACCGAACAATATGAGCAATATGGGAAGGGGTCACCTGTTTGTGGAGTGACAAAATTAAGCATATAAAACATTTGGAAAATAATAGATTACGTTACACAAGTAAAAAGATAAATCCCATCTCTTTTATTATTATTAATTTGACATTCAAAACAGGGATATCAAAAAAACATATGAACACTATTTAGAGGGGGTGGTGCTTATTTTTGGAGTGACAAAATTAAGCACATAAAACATTTAGAGAATAATACATAAGCAGAAAAACATCAACTTTAGTTATTATTATTGTTTGTGGTGCTGGGGATTGAGCTACATCCCAGCTCAACCCTCAGATATTAACAGCTATGCAGCCCACAGATTTCTGAGGCTTTTATTTAAGACTTAAACCTGGATAATGGAGAGAGTGCTTCCCTATGCCCTCCATGTATACTCTCCAGACCACAGCAGTGGGATGGCTGAGTCCAGTCTACTCAATAAATATCCGTTAGCTTTAATGAAAAGATTTGGGAGAGAAATATTCTGAGGGAAAAGTAGGAAATTTTTGTGATTTCTGTACTAAAACATGAACTCATTGTGGAGTAAAATATATAAGCCTGTAAGGTAGAATTTGAGGGTTCAAAGAAATCCTCCACTTTGTGCATTCTCTTCAGACCCCTACCTTCCCAGAGCTAAAGTTCATTCCCCTGACAGTAAGAATCCTCTGAGGGAAATAAGTGAGAAGGACGGGATAGAGATGTATGCTCACTGCTAACAAGGTCAGGTGTTGGTGTTAATTAGAAAACACCTGTCTGCTCTGGTTACCAGGCATGTAGAGGACAAAAATGGTACTTTGTTCTGAAAACGGAAGAGGCAGCTTACATTCTTACCTAGGTATGTATCTCCTTATTTTGGAGGAAGAGAAGCTGTAGAAAGACCAGATTCTTACAAAACAACCCTGCATTTGTTCACAGTTAAGCACAAAAGGTGTCAAACACAGCTGACATCGACCTATAAAATCCTGAAGCTAGGTCTTAAAGCTTTGACAGAACTCTTGTACACTCAGTGTTGAATAAAACTGCTTCCCACTGAGGTAGATAAAATGAGCTTCTGGGTGATTCACTTAATCTGCTAAAATAGGGTTGTTCGGTACTATTCATTTGTATGTTCTAGAGTGACTACCTAAAACTGTGTCTTTTCTTTTTATTTTTGGTGCTGTGAATTGAACTAAGGGCTTTGTGTATGATAGGCATGTGCTCTACCACTAAGCTACATCCCCAGTCCTTAAAATAAGATTTGACTTTGGCACAGTGGTCTTTTCTCAAACATTTAATTGAATGTATCATGTACAATTATTTTACATTTTTTATTTCAAGAAATTATATACACAGTTGGTCCTCCAAATCTGTGAGTTCTGCCTCTAAGGATTCATCCTATGTCAGATTGAAAATACTTGAAAAAAAAATGACATCTGTGTTGAACACGTACAGACTTTTTAAAATCATTACTCCCTAGCCAGTACAGTATAATTACTATTTATATGGCATTTCTCCTCTGTCAGAAATGAAGTAATCTAGAGATTTATGGGCATATGTACGTAGACTGTATGCAAATAGAATATCTTTTTTTTTTTTTTTGTATGGGATGGGGTTTAAAATCAAGGCTTTGCATTTGCAAAGCAGGCAATTTACTGCTTCAATCATACCTCCATCCCGTTTTGCACTTTTCTCTGGTTATTTTGGAGATGAGGTCTCATGAACTGTTTGCCTGGGCTGGCCTCAAACTGTGATCCTCCTGATCTCAGCCTCCCAAGTAACAAGGGTTACAGACTTGAGCCACCAGTGCTTGGCTAGAACACCATTTTTAAAGGAACTTGAACATTTGTGATTTTCACATCCATGGCGTCCCAGAACCAATACCAACAGACAATGGTATATATATTTCTGAATAGACAGTCAACTCATGGTTCAAAATATAGGACACAGTGAAAAATCTCTCCCATCAACTCATATCTGTTGACCTTCATCCCCCTCCCAACAGTATTCCTACACTAGTTTTTGGTATCTTTTTAAAAAGATAGTTCATGCATATATTAGCATTTTACCTTTTAGCATAAATACAGCACACCTCTCACTTTGAAAAAAAGAGCTAGCAGTTTATTTAGGAAATCGTTCCACATTACATAAAGAACTTTACTTGTTTCTAATTCTTTTCTTTTCCCCTGGCCACTCTTCTACCATATGTAGGTATCATTTTGTAAAGCAGATAGGTACTGGTGGACAGTGAATTATTTTCAGTTTCTTGATATTTGCAAATAGTCATGACTCCATGATTAACTTCTAACACATGTCATTTCAAGTACATGTGACCATATCTGTAGACTAACTTCCTAGAACTGTTCTTCCGGGTCAAAGAACTTGATTACATTTGTAATCAAGTCTGTGGCATTGACAGTACCACATCAGCTCACAGCATCAGTGTACAGGAACTTTGGCAAAATTTCAATTAGTGATTGGTTTACTTTTATCCCTTCTTAGCATAGTCTTAGTTATATCTTAACGGAGTATATTTAAGCAGTACAAACTAGACACTGTAGTAGTGTTTATCAGTCTTATTTAATTAGGGGTATGAAATAATCAATCACCTATGGTGTCTTTTCAAAACACATATGCTTCGGGAACATTCTAGATTTACTGAATCAGAATCTTGACTGGGCAAGCTGGGGTAGAGCCTGGCACCTGCATTTTGAAAAGCTATGTCTATAATATAATTACTTTGGAGACTACGAGAAGCTCCTCCTTATATTTGAAACTATCATACTAATAAACCAAACATCTGTGTAAGGAGGAAGGCCATTACCAAGTTTGAGGGCAAGAGGCTCCAATTTGTTTTATTGAATTATTTTGTAGTTCTTTCAAATCAATAATATTTACTATGCACCTGTGGTATATAGTAGGAACTCTTCAGATATGGGCATGTGGGGTGATGGTCATGCCATCAATTACAGGTAGATAGAGATTTTGGTTATACTTTATTGTTTCATGTAAATACAAGCAATTTAACAATGTGACATGAGGGAAAATTCCTATTTTAAAGAAATGTTAGGACAGAAAATATCAATCAAGGCCTATATAAAGGCTTTTAAATAGACTTTAAACTTCTTCCTTATAAAAATGCACATAAGACATACCATCTTTCAACTAATTTAAAGCAATTAATCTTGACTGGCTGTGTTAATGGATTCCTTGTGTAGCATGAAGGTACAGTACCATGGGATGTGCCATTTTAAATGGTGTAGGACTCTCCAGTCACCACCAGGTGTCAGAATGTGCTTACATATTGTCATACTACAGCCTCCTGGGCCAAAGTGTGCCAAAAGGCAAATTCTGATTTCTGGCATTATGTTAGTACCATTATACACATTTCAGTTTTATAAAAGAACAGCTGTCTACGGTGTGGATACATAATGTCGTCATTCTGTCGTTTCTAAACCACTATTAAGTTGCTTTGTCATATCCTCTGAAATCAAATACAACAGGATTTCTGAAATGTTTGGGAATAGCTCTGCTTCGAGAAGCTATCTCCTTCTAAACATTTCTGTGATGATTATAACTTCCTAAAATTTTGGAGTGGGAAGATTTAACAATTATGTAGCCTACTAAGCTTCATATGGGGTTTGTATGAAATGTATAGCTTCATAGGAGCTTTTAAAAACTGTATGGGAAAAAAAAACCAAACTGTATGGATTCTATTTCCCCTGACTGTGACATTATCATTGCTCGGGGGAGACATTCCCTGCTTGAAAATCACTGAGATCATAGGAGTTGGTATGAGTGGTAAATGTTTCAAAGGAACATAAATAGGAATGAGGCAGAAAAAGGTGTCTGGGAAGCATTCTTTCCCATGATTCCATTTGGACCTTGTCTCTCTGCTAGAATGGTCCAGTGGGATCAGGAGCTTTGACGATCACAGACAGTCCTTGAAACTGGGCAGTTATTTTGAAATTGCTGGAGGTATTTTTATTTGACGGAAAATTAATAAACAAACAAACAAAAAAACCTTGTTGGAAGAGAAAGTCTGAGG